CGAGGGGGTTAGCTAGTCTTGGTAGAGGGCCGGCAGGCGAGCAGTCCCAGATCGCGTTTATCTGGGAGGAGGAAGTTGCGGTTGCTGGTTTTTGGCACACACTGCCAACATTTGCACTTGGAGCAGGGGAAGGCTTTCCCATCATCCCCTTTCAGCTTCACCCCAGGGGAAAGCATCCGCACTCTCTTGGGACTGAGGCATAGGGTGGGGGTGGGGATGTGTGGGGGTGTGAGGTGTCTCATGGTCTGAGATGAGACATGGCTGGACCCTTATCAAGCAATATATTCGTGACTTTATGCTCTTCACTCATTACTTCTTTCTTCCAGACAAGGTGTCATGTGACCCAGGTTGGCTGTGTACTTACTATATACCCAAGGATGACCTCCTGCCTCTGCTTCTGTAGCAGGATTATAGCTGTGGACACCATGGTCCATTTACTCAGTGCTGGGAATTGAATCCTGGGCTTAGTACATGTTAGGCAAGCCCTCAACCAACTGAGCTACATGCTCAGTACAATTATAGCCTCTTATTTTTACAATAAAAATTCTTACTATAATACTTTGCCTTACCCCTACATTACGAAAGAAAAAAAAAATCCAGCACTAAAAGGGGCGGGGTGCTAGGAATAAAATTCATACCCGTCAGAGGTGTTTGTTTAGCATGTGCAAGGCCCTGGATTTGATCTTTACCCAAATAATATAAAATAATAAATAATTAAATAGACGAAGTACCAGTATTTGGGCTGTTAAGATGGGTAAAGAGGTCTGACACCAAATTTGATGAGTTGAGTTCGATCCCCAAAACCTCCTTATTGGAAGGAAGGAACCAACTCCGGAAAGCTGTCCTCGGACCTCAACCAGTGTGCCATGGCATGAGGGTGTTTCTTCTCCCAAATAAATAATACATAAATAAAGAAAGGAGGTATAATTTAAAAAGAGAGATTTGTGTTTAGTAATCTTGTGTCCTGCAGCCTTGGTCACAACATCCATGAGCTTTCATAGTCACTTGTTGTGTGTGAATTCTCTAGAATTTTCTAGATATAAGATCATGTGATCTGTGAATAGCCATAGGGGTAATTTTACTTCCTTCTTCTCTGTCTGGATATATTTTCTGGTTCTTACCTGATTGTCCAGGTTCCTATCTCTTTTATCACTTTAGAGGAAGTGGCTGAGCAGAAACCCTGGTTTTGTTCCTGACCTTGCCCACTTAGTGATGGTATCAGCTGTGTTTGTTTATTGGCACCTAGGACCTTTGAGGAAGTTTCCTTTACTCCCAGGGTGCTGAAGGCTTTGTCACTGGAGTGTTGTTGACTATTACTGGTGCTTTCCCTTTGCCTGGTGAGTTGTTTTGTCCCTGTAAAGCAGGACCTTGATTTTAAAGATTTATGTTTATTTTATGTGTGCCAGTGCATGCATTTCCCTCAGAGGCCAATAGATGGTGTTGGGTCCCCTGGAACTGGGGTTACAGATGGCTGTGTGCAACTTGTGGGTGCTGGGAGTTGAACCCTGGTCCTCTGCAAGAGCCACCTTTCCAGGTCCCCACCTCTTCCTCTTCTTTCTTCTTCCTCTTCCTCCTCTTCTTCATCAGTTGAAGAGTCGCTTATTTTTGTGCCCTCTCAGTACAGTATCTTGTTGGTGGTCTTATGACAGCCACCCTACAACCTTCTGTGCTCAGTGCTGAACCAGGCTTGGACTTTCAGTCCTAAGCCGTCTTCGTTGATGCTGAGTTCCTGTTCTCTCGCCAGTTTACATTTGCCATATTATTTTAAAATTGCTTTACATTTGCATGCAGCCAAATGTACTTTTTGGTGCACAGTTCTATAAGATATTCCCCCTTTGGGGGGAGATTATAATATCATCACAATGTTTCTCCATTCCCTTTCCTCTCTCCAAACACTTCCATATACTCTTCCCTGTTCTTTCTCAAAACCATGGCTTCCTTTCTCATTAATTGCTGGTGTGTGTGTGTCCTCCTCACTATAACCTGCTCCCTCTGTATAATGTTACTCATGTGTGTGTTTTCAGGGCTGATCCTTTGGTACTAGATAAGCAGTTGCTCTCTTCTTCCCTGGCGATGACTATTTCTTCCACGCTAAAATTTCCGAGTGGTCTGTAGTTCTCTGTGTAGGGCTGAAGCGTCACGGGCTTTTCCCAGTCCGCTTTGGCACGTCTATTGGTAATGTTCTGGTTCAGCTCATGGTTAGGCATTCACGTTGGTGAGGTTCTATGCCTGTAGCTTCTGACACTACTAGGAGACACAATCTCACAGCCAACTCCCCAGTCCTCTGGCTCTGACCACCTTTGTACACACACATCAGTTGTGTACACACACACACACACACACACACACACACACAAACCCCACTTCTAAAATGTTCCCTGAGCCTTAGGTGTGGGAGTGTCTTATAGTTGTATCTATTAGGTTCCTCAACTCTGCATTGTAATTGGTTATGGTTTTCTGTAGTGACCTCCATCTGTTGCAAAGAGAAGTTTCATTGATAAGGGGCTCCACTAATCTGTGGGTATAAGGACAAATGTTTAGAATGCAATTAGAGATCCACAGCTTGTCTAGAATTCAGTAGTTGGCTGTGTTTTCAGTGCCAGGCATAGTTTACTTCTTGTTGACTGGGTCTTAAGTCCAACTAGAGAACTGCTGGTTAGCAGTAAGGTATGTGTGCTGCTCCTGCACCCGTAGGGTTTTTATACCTGGTCATTGTTTTGGTTCCTAGGGATCCTAGCCGAGAAGGACTATCGGCTGCTTCCCTTTTTTCAAGCTTGCATGTGTGTCTGCTAATAGAACACCTCAGGGAGGAGGTGTTCCGGTTCCAGGCCAGAGCCTCTGTCCCCTCTTCCTGAAGTGCATGGTGTCTTCAGCAATAGAGACTTACCTTTCACCTCCGGGGCTCACCCTCTCCCCGCTTTTTGACATAGGATCTCATGTATCCTAGGCTTACCTCAGACTTGTTATATAGCCAAGGATGGTCTTAAACTCCTGAGCGACCTGCCCTCACCTCCTGAGTGCTGGGACTACAGATGTGCACCTATATACCGGGCTTCTTTCTGAACAGTTTTAAGAAGGAGCTCCTAGCAGTAACAGGTCCCACCTAGATCTGTGTGCAGCTTGTACGGGAGCTGTGTGGCTGCTCCTTATTGTCCACTTTATTGCCCCACTAGACTACTACTACTAAAATACTTGTGTGTAAACAGACTGTGCATGGACGGGATAAAAATACAGAATCCGCGGCCAGTCAGTAATGACAAGTCCCTCTCCTTCGGGCTTGGATTTCTTTCCCCTTGTCAGCCCCATTTCTTTGCAATCGTGTGCCTTCTGGTGACAAGGTTGTTCCTTCTACTTGTTACCAAAATCTCCGAGTCCACAACTCCTAAAATTTTACATAGTCATATCATTATTTTTTTAGCTATTATTATTTTGAGGCGGGGTTTCCCGTAGCCCAAGTTGGATTTCCAACTCCTTGTCTAGCCAAGAAGACTTTGAACTCCTGGTCCAATGTTCTCCACGTCCCAAGTGTAGGGATTACAGGCCAGAAACTTTATTAAACTTTATTGTATTATTAGTATTATCACCACCAGTGTGTGTAGGTATGTGGGCACACGTGTGCCACTGTTTGGATGTGACAATCAGAAGACAGCTTTGTAGAGTCGGGCTCTCTGCTTCAGTCTGCTTTCCCAAGGGTTTCTGGGGAATTGAACTGAGACTGTTAGGTTTGCTCAGCACATGCTTTATCCCATGAGCCGTGTTCTCAGCCAGATCTCTATCTATCTGTCTGTCTGTCTATCTATCTATCTACCCATCCATCTATCATCTATCAACCCATCTATCATCTATCTATCTATCCACCCATCCATCTATCATCTATCTATCAACCCATCTATCATCTATCTATCTATCAATCAACTACCTATCTATCCATTCATCCATCTATCTATTTTATTTTGAGACAGGCTCTCACTCTGTTGCTCAGGGTAGCTAAGGGCTCACTTTATAGTCCACTCTGGCCTTGGGCTTTCTACAGTTCTCCTGTCTCAGCTTCCAGAGTGCTGGTATTATAGGCTTGAACAACCATACCCAGTTGAAATCTTAAAACATTTCCTATTTGGAACTTTAATACAAGTTTTCCAGTTCCTTTCTTTTCTTCTTGATCTTTGCATGGTTTCTAAAGATGTTATGAAGTCATAGTACAGTCTCATTTTGCACGTGTGTGTTTCGTGTGCTTCTAATGGAATGGGTATCTCTGAGCCCAAGGGCTAGTCTTAAGGTGTTGCTATTTGCCATTTTGAAAGATATTACCAAATAAAGAAGCTGAGCTGCCTTCTACTCTGTCCAAGGGCACATGCCTCAGCCTGCTGCCCCACAGCCTCCACTGTTAACAACTTGACACTTGCCGATCTGATAAAGGAAACACAGTACTCAATTGTAGTCTGAATTTGCTGTCCTCTGATTACGAGTAAGCATTAGCATTTTAAGTCTAAACGGCTTTTATTTTTTAATTAATTGATTAATTAAACAAACAAATAAATTTGGAACCAGGGTCCCATTCTGTAGCTCAGAATAACCTGGAACTCACTATGGAGCCCACACTGGCGTCAGTCTGTCTGCTCCTGGTGTCTGGTCCTCCTGATCTAGCTTCCCAAATCCTGGGACTACAAGCATGAGCTATCACTCCCGGATTATTTTATTTTATTAATTTATCTTTCCTGGTTTGGGGATCGAATCCAGGGTCTCCAGGACGCTTAGAGAAGCACTACTCAATCATTGAGCTATCTTTTAAATTCCTCCTGAACAATTTTTCCCTGTCCAGTTCATTCAAGAAGCGGGACCTGGACTCTGGCTGAGAGCTGGCGGCCGGATGCTGGGCGTGGCTCGTCGGGAGGCTGAGGCACTGGACCCCCACTTCGGCCCTCCCTCTTCTCTCTGTGGTCTCGGAGCTCCTCCCAGAGTCCGCCTGGGGCTGGCCTGGGCGGAGCACGTGGGCCAGTGGGCGGAGCCGAGAGACCGTTTTATTCCAGCCCGAGAGAAGCGTTCGCAGGAGCCCGCGGGTCCCAGCAGCAGTGCGTGTGTCTTTGCCCGCGTCCCGCAGCATGCAGCTCTCTGGTGCGCTGGCCGCGCTGTGCGGCGTGTTTCTCTGCGCCCCCGGCCTCTTCGCTGCGTCCGGTGAGTCCCCCGCGCCGCTCTTTGGGCCTCGCCCCTCTTCTGCCCGCCGCTCGAAAGTTCTCAGCGGCGCCCTCCCTTCACCCCTACTGTTGACAAACTTGAGCAAAGCCTAGGGGATCCGCTCTGGGGCTGCTCCTCGGTTGCAGAGGCGGACGGACGATCTCAGCCTCTGCGCGCTTTGCGCCGGGACCTTGGGGCAGTGATAGTGGCTTGCTCACCGGGCGGTGACCCTGGACACCCGGTGACAGCCCTGCCTCCCCCAGGGATGTGACTTACACATAACAAAGGAATCCGCTGCGTTGTGCCTCTTTACCGCGTCTATAGAGCGAGGCTACCGAACTGTGTTTACTCTCCAGTCCTTCCTTTTGGGAGAGTCTAGAACTCTTGTACGGATACTTCTCCCACCAACTTTCCTCGCAACTCTCTTCCGAACCCTCCTGCCTGGAGAATCCAATGAACGTTTACGCCCCACTTGTTGGTGTTTGATCAGATAAGGGGAGAAAGGACTCGAGAGCCGTTGCGAGCGACTGGGCTGTAGGTGGAGGCTGATCAGGAATTTAAAAGAGGGCTTCCTCTCACCCGGCTGGCCTTGGTTGTCTGCTTAATCTCCCCTTGCTCTCCTCCCCCGCTCCAAGGTCCCCGGTAGACGTCTGGGCCTCCGGCAGGATGCTGCTGGGGAGTTCGTCTCGAGAAAGCAGTGCCCACGTGAGGCGCGGGTGAGCTCAGGGACTCTGCAAGCAGCCCTTCTATCGTTTTCTCACAGAAACGGGTGCTGGCCCAGCTCTCTTGTCTAGCACAGGATCTGACCTCTGGGATGGAGTTGAAGGCATTTAGTGCCTCCAGCTTCCACGAGCTGGGAACTCATGGAAAGATGCTTGGATCTCCTTTGACCCTTCCCACCCCTCTTCCCACCCTCCTCACAACCTGCGTCCTGACCAAATGGCCCAGAGGACAGTTTCAAAGCAGTACCCTGATATCCCATAAGATTTGTAGAGGAGCTAGCGTCTCCCGGTCTCACATTCAAGCTCAGCCTGGACGGTTAAGACGGGTCTGCGGGCCACTCTCCACTTTGTTTTCTTCTCAGAACCCTTGGTTCGATCCCACGTGCAGCTGTAGGGAAGGATGGAAGAGGGTTCTTTGTTGGGATGGGGTGCCTAGGCCTTGGGCAGTCTGGAGCTTCCACGTGAGGCTGTGACGGTGCCCTTCCAGGTCAGAGGGGATTAACCTGCTATTTAAAGCTGGTGACTAATAGTTCTGCCGCAGCGCCTTAGGATCCCCAGGCCCTTGCCGAGGTGGAGCTATGTGGGCTGGTGCTCGTTAATGGTGTTGCCTGCCTCCAGCTGGGGAGTCTGAGCTCCCCTGAGCCTTTGGCTTTGGGGAGGGCCCCTTCTGCTTTGGATGGGCTACTGTAGAGAGAAGAGATCTCTTAGGTTTGAGTCTAGTGCCAAGTTTGGGGTCCAGTAGGATGCTAACTAACTAAGGTCATGCAGGGGACCCTTTTCAGTACAACAGACCTGGGGCTGCTCACTGATGAGTGAGTGACAGTGTTAGGGGACCCTGGAAAGATGGGAGGAAGGTGAGCTCGTGAGGCAGGGTACCTCCAGTCCCTTTCTGGGGGTGGAGATGGGGTGTAGGTTTACCAGCTGCTTGGCTAGGCTACATATAGTCCTTCAGTTCACAGACCAGGTAAGCTCAGCCCCAGCCCATCCCACCTCTCCGCCTGGGTTCTCCATCCTGGTGGACCGTGCACATCGGTCACCCAGGGCTCTCCAAATGCTCTGGTGCCCCCTCCAACCTTCCTTCACCTCCTCAGTCCGTGCTCCCTAGGGTCTCTCAAATTCCCCAACTCCTGTTCCCTCTGCCCTCATGCGCTTCCTCACCGTTCAACCTGTGGGCTTCACCTGCAGCCACCAGACCTCCTACACTTCAGGGGCCTGTTAGCCTTCTCGTGGGGTTTTCTGCCTTCCTCCTTTTCCAGCTTGGCTCTGGCTTCAGAGGGTGTGTGTGGGGTGGCAGAGAGAAAGAGACAGTGACAAAGAGACATTTGCTAGCCAATGCTGGGGAGGCTTAAGGAAGTTTTAAAAGCTCTCTATTGATCGCAGCATATGGTCTAAACTTGTCACTCTTCCAGTCCCCCCCCCCAAATCTGGCCTAAGTCCAGTCATATCTGAACCATTCCTCAACACAGCAGGAGCTCAGTGTAGCTGCTTCTCTCTAGAATGTTTATTTTTTCATTCACCAGCTTGTCATCCTTTGTAGTGTTTCTTTAAAAAACTGTTGCATTGTTGTCTGTGAGCCCGAATATGTTACATGTGCACACCTTGCATGTAGGAGCCCTCAGGGGTCAGAAGAGGCCATCAGATCCTCTGAAACAGAAGTTATAGGTGATTGGAAGCCATCATGTGGGTACTGGGAGCCAAACCAGGGCTTTCTGCTAGAGCTTAATCTCCCAGCCGTCTCTCTAGCCCCCCCTTTAGTTTTAAAGATTCATCTTTATATTTTAAAGATTAAGTATAGCTGTCCCCATGTGGGTCTCTGTGTGAGTACAGGTAGCTGAAATGCTGCAGCTTTTGGATCCCCGAGGCTGGAGTTCTAGGCAGCTGTGAGCCATCTAATGTGGGTGCTGGCCTCCAGACCACGGTCCCGCGGAAAATCAGCGAGTGCTCTTCACCTGAGCTGTTTTCTCTAGTCCATGGTTTCCTTTTTTAGAGGTAGTTCTGGGGACTGAATCCAGGGCCTTGCACATGCTAAGCAGTTTCCCTAGTTCCTGGCTTGTTGAGGATAACCGCTAACTCCTGTCTTGGAAGTCCGGCATGTGCACGTGGTAGCTGGACTCGAAGTGTTTACCGAATGACCATGTTTGGACTGTCGTTGCAGGTGACATCTGTGACTCCAGCCTGTGCCTGAACGGTGGGACGTGTTTGTTGGGCCGAGACAATGACATCTACTGCCTCTGCCCCGAGGGCTTCACAGGCCTTGTGTGCAACGAAACTGAGAAAGGTACTTGCTTCCATGGCCTGTCTCCCCGGTCACTTCCCAAGCGAATAGCTCTTGTTCCAGTAGAACCCCCCAGCTGCTTGGGAAAGCCAGTGCTCCCAGTATTGGGGCAAATTCATCTTCTCAGTGACTCTCTTGGGTCCAGGATGATTGGGGTAGGGGAGAAAAGGGACTGGTTTGGATGTATCGGATGAGGCTGGGTCACGTGCTGCTCGTGGGCCTGTCCTCGGCCCTTTTCTGACCACCTGTCCATCTCATCTGCCTCTTTGCTTCCAGGACCCTGCTCCCCAAACCCTTGCCACCATGATGGCAAATGCCAAGTGAATAAGGACGCGCAGCGAGGAGACACCTTCACTCCGTACATCTGCCATTGTTCTCTGGGCTACTCGGGTATCCACTGTGAGATCAGTGAGTACCAGAGGTCTGTAGCTGGGCCCAGGCACTTGGGGCGAGATTGAGGAATGGGCCGAACATCAGTGAGGATCCTCTTGTCCCTACCAGGCTTAAGGTCTAGCTTTCTCCCCTGCGACTTCAGGTCAGGGCCAGTGTCACTGTAGGTGTGTGGTGTCCCTGAGGTCATGGGAAGGCTACTTCCTGAGTCCACGAGTCGGAGACATACAGTGTCAGAGTTAAATCTTGGAACTTCCCTACCAGTGTAAGAAGAAACTGGCGTGCTCTTTAACTTGGAGCCCAGTGAATCAGATTTGGACCCTGTGGTCTTCTTACTGGTCAGGGGGGAGGAGGAGGTCTGGGCAGGCTGTCTTGTCCCGTGTCATAGGAAGACTAAAGGCCTGGCATAGGGGGGAGGAGCTGACCCTGTCTGACCTGTTTGGCTATCCCCTGGGCCTCAGAATGGCCTGGGTGAGTGCCAGCTAACATTGTTGGCGGTAGTTCTCCGTGCTGCCCCCAACTCTGCCCAAAGCATAGCAGAACTTTTATTAACCCTAAGTGTCCCTTGGGAAGGGCTGTGTTCAGGCAAGGGGAAAGAGGAAGGGGTGGAGTGTGTGTGTGTGTGTGTGTGTGTGTATGTGAGTGTGTGGAGTGTGTGTGTGTGAGTGTGTGGAGTGTGTGTGTGTGTGTGTGTGTGTGTGTGAGTGTGTTGCTGTTTTCAGCTAGCCAGGTCAGGCAGTGGACATCCTGAGGGTGGGGTGGGGGGACAGGTGACTTCTTCCCCTCCTTCAGGCGGGTGTATGTTGGTCTCTGAGGCTTGCTGACCTATGGAAGGAGGACAGCTGGGTCAGCTGTGTGGGGGCTGGTCCCCAGGATCAGGGAATGTGGGCAGAGTGCCGGGGATGCCCCTGATTTAGGAGAGAGTGACAGGCTGGTCTTTGAAGGCGGTACTAAAGCCAGACGAGTTTGAGATCCTTGCGGGGAGGATAGGGGAGCTCTGGATTGCTAAGGCAGATGGAGGCCTGGGTGGAGCCAGGTAAACCTGCTAATTACTGGGTGGGAGCCGAGCTAACCATGGTGTACCTGTGTGGGAATTAGCTACGCAGCCCTCTCTGGGCTGCCAGGTCTAGAGTTGGCTCTAGGCCAGATGGTGGCACTTGGAGCAGAGTGTAGGCGGTGCCCACAGAGGCTGCAGGGCTGAGGGGCACAGAGCAATGTCACACTCCTCTGTTTGTTACACTGTCTGTGTGCCAGTGCCAAGGCTGCCCCTTTGGGTCCCTTGTGTGGAGATGGTGGGTGTAAGGCCCATCCGCAGGCTGACCTGTCCCAGATCTTGGTTATCCAGCCCCATTTGATATCCTGCCTTCTCTGTAAGATTGGTAGTTCCTGCCCAGCTTGAGCCTCTGCTGCTGGGTTCCCTTGGCAGCAGAAACCTGGGCACCCACCAAGGATGTCCAGAGAGATGGAAAGGCCCTCTTGCCAACAGGCTTGATCGCTATCCTGAATTTCTGGTGTTATGTTGCTAGTGGCGCAGAGACGATGGGGCTGTGGCTGGGGACATGTTCACAGACGGGCGGGTGGGTAAGGATTTGGTAGTCGGATGTGCAAAGGATCTGGAAGAAAACAGAATGGTATTCATTCTCTCCCCAGAAAACTGTCGGTGGGAGCCTAGAAAGTACCATGGAGGGTCAGGGGCGATGCCAGAAGCCTATAATTGGAGCTGAGGCAGGAGAAACCACAAGGCCAAGGCCAGCATGGGCAGCCGAGGGAGACCCTGTCTCAAAGCACTAAGGACTGGGGGTGTAGCTTAGTGGTAGAGCCCTTGCCCCCCATGCTCAGGCTTAATCTCTAACATCGCACACAAGAAGATGAAGAGAAGACATCTTCAAAAGGTGTAGGGTAACCTTGCTGCCCGCCGCTTCCCGCCTGAAGCCACCCCTCGGGGTGAGCCAGGGATGGGCGTGCTGAGGAAGACGGCGCTTGGATCTTTTCTCTTGCCAGTGAATGAGACCATCTACTACAACGTGGAAGACTACCTGTCCACCACAGCCATCCCCACCCCGGTCCCCAACCCTGGTTTTTCCCGTGAGTCAACTCTGCTGACCCCTTCTCTCCTGGGCCTCCCGTGCCATCTGCTTCTCCGCTTGGTGTCGGTGTTCCTTGGTGTTATCTGCCTGAGTGAGGGGCTGAGGTTCTCTCTGTCTCTAGGTCCTCATCGGAGGCCACACTTTTCCCCCTCTTGTTCTGTGGTCCTAGCTGGGCTCTGGAGCTTTGGATGAAGTCCCTGACGGTCGCTCTCTCTCTCTCTCTGCAGGTTGCACCTTGAAGTTGGGCATGGAAGGGGGTGCGATTGCTGACTCGCAGATTTCCGCCTCGTCTGTGTATGTGGGTTTCATGGGCTTGCAGCGCTGGGGTCCAGAGCTGGCGCGTCTGTACCGCACGGGGATTGTCAATGCGTGGACAGCCAGCAACTATGACAGCAAGCCCTGGATCCAGGTAGGAAAATGACCCAGGGCAGAGCGATAGGGAAGATGTAGATGAATGTGGCTTCATCGGGGGCTTAGACCCTGACCCGTACAGGATGATGGGTGACCGACCATGACTGAAGTGTCAGTATATAAAGGGCAGCCTTGGACCTGGAGCAGGCAGGCAGAGTGAGGGGAGTCAGTCTTTGGTGGGGGTCCACATGCCTCTGGGGGTTCTTGACACTCGTGGCCTTTGTAGAGACAAACTCCAGAACTTCAGAGGAGAAAGCCATCTCCTTGGAGAAGGAACCAGTGAGCTAGCCAGTTGGGTTTTGGGTGGAAAGAACGGGATGACGGAGGGGACCACCTTTCTCACCCGGGCTCCAGGTGAACCTTCTGCGGAAGATGCACGTGTCGGGTGTGATGACGCAGGGTGCCAGCCGCGCAGGGAGGGCGGAATACCTAAAGACCTTCAAGGTGGCCTATAGCCTTGACGGACGCAAGTTCGAGTTTATCCAGGATGCCAGTGGATCCGGAGACAAGGTGGGCCTGAAGAGGGGCTACCGAAGTCCGCACCGCAAGAGTCTGGCGCTGACTGAGAAGCCAGGGCATCCTGAGGGATAGGGTTGAGGCGAATTCTTCAACTGTCCCTTGGTCCCTAGAAACGGGCAGACCCAGATTGTACACATGTTCCCTGGTTACAGGATGTTACCCCACCCGCTAGATACGAAAAGAGACTCCAAGGAGTGCCATGACTTGGTAAGGGTGGTGGTGGCGCTGGACTGCTCTCTGAACTAACTTTTCAGGGTTGCAGTATACAGTTGTGAAGATACAGTTACTAGGTGGGCACCATTTACAGTACAGATACTGTCCAGGTCTGTATTTCTGTCTGCCGGAAAATTGTTACCGTGAAATCTTTGGAAGATGTACACAGATGTAGATAGCCCCGTGTGAACAGGGGTTTATGCCTGGGCACTGTGATGACCCTGAGGATGATAAAGCAAGGGCTGCAGGCTGAGTCCATGTGGCCTCTGGGAGAGTATGTTCTTCCAGTCCTACAATGGCCTCTGGGCCTCTCGGGCCTGAAGAGGAAGAGGTCCGGGAGCGGGTTGGCAAACCCGCTTCCTCCTCCAGTCCTACCCCTTCCCTTCTAGGAGTTTTTGGGGAACACGGACAACAGCGGCCTGAAGGTTAACATGTTCAGTCCCGCTGTGGAGGCACAGTATATAAGGCTGTACCCTGTTTCTTGCTACCGAGGCTGCACCCTCCGCTTCGAGCTCCTGGGCTGTGAGTTGCACGGTGAGTGCTGAGATGTGACCCTTTCTGTCCCTACTTTGTGAGCTGCTGGTGGTGGTGGGGAGGGGGGGCTATTGTGGAGAGTGGCCCACAGAATCCTGGCCAGGTGTCCTCGCTCTGCGCTGTCTGCCAGTCCATTGCTCGGGGCATTTTGGATAGTCATTTCCCGTCTCAGTATTTCTGCTTATTTTGGTTCCTGGTGCTTCTAGAACAGGCAGTGAATTGCTCGATTGCGGGGGAATTGTTCTTTATTGCTGTGTCTCCAGGGCCTCAAACATGTGGGTGCTTAGTAAATCTTTGATGAAGTGAAGGGACACCTAGATAGATGTATTGTGTTCATCCAAGGTACCAGCTGGGAGGTGTGAGCACAGTGCTTTCCCTTCAGGCATCTGCCACCTGCATTGAGCACTCATGCAGGTGTTTCTAGCACCCTAGAGCTTGGAGTTTTTACGGCTACAGACACGGGGACCACAAAGGGAGGGGTTGCTGCTGAGCCAGGGGGATTACCCTCTGGAGAGGTCTAGCTGACCCATACTGCCCTTTAGTTCAGGCCCACTGGTCTCTTTTGAAGCCTGTTTCTCTTTGCACCACAGTGCCACCTGCTGGCCACCCGGGGTAACGGTCGTGCTGACTCTGCTGGGCTGCAGAGTTCATCATCTTTATAGACCGGTTGGCATGCCCGGCTGTGCCCCCTTTCTCTGTCACTGACACTGTTTACTGTTTTGTTTTGCTTTTTGAGGCAGGGTCTTTTTACATAGCCTTGCCTGTCCTGGAACTCACTATGTAGAACAGGCTGGCTGGCCTCAAATTCACAGAGATCCACTTGCCTCTGGCTCTCAAGTTCTGGGATTAAAGGCGTGTGCCATTAAATCCAGCCCCCTCCCCCCTTTTAAGTATGGATTTCAGCTAGTATGCTTCTATTACCAAACTTGGGGTCATAGTCTGTACCACAAGAAGTCAAACTTGGTTACCTGCCCTCAAGAAGCCAATTGAAACAGCCAAATTCATAGTAAAAAGTGGAAAGAGATTTATTCAATGGCCATATGAGGGAAGGTGGACAAAGGCCCAATGAGCCCCCAAGTCCATCTTTGGGGTCCTGAAGTGAGTTTAAAGTTTAAATAGAGGGCCAGGGACTTGCACATCTAAGCAGTCTTGAGTCCTGGACCCGCCCACCATTGACTCATCGTTGTCTGGGCTTCTGTCTCATTCTGGTCTGACAAGCTGTTAGGATGTATAAAATCTTTTTCAGGAAGGCACACTCCCTGCTCTCACGCCGTTTTCTTCTCCCAGCATGGGATTCCCGGGGAAGCTTGCTTTCCTTGGTGTCCATTCAGTAGCTGCTAGTCAGATGGTATCCTTTGTGCCAATAGTCCGAGAGTTGAGTGGAGAGAACCGTGTTTACACACAATATCATCTCTGCCACGAAGGTTGTTTGTCCTGGGCCGTTGCGTTTGTGTCATGTGATTTAGTGTCTGGCAAAGGATGGAGCCAGGTCTGGCCTGAGCCCTTTGGTTCTCAAGGTTGCCCGGTAGTAAAGCCATGAGTGGTTTAAGACTCAGAGTGGGGCAAGCCAAGCCTCACACCAGTGAGCAGAGCTGCGTCATTTGCTTTCCCCTCAGGCCTGGCCTCCCTTTCTCTGTATCCCAACCTGTCAGCTGGAGATGGGGGTGTATCCATGGGCACTGTACATGTGGGTGGGGTGAGGCCCAGGTGTCCTGGGAACCCACGAGGCTCCCCATATCAGGACCGTTATTTTTAGCAGACAGTATCTTTGGCTACTTAACTTTTATTTAGACATTTCACAATACAAGTGAGACCTTTGACCTCTTGAAGCTTGAGTCAGAGATGAGATTAACACAAAAAAGGAAGGTCAGGAGCTGGGCAAGATGGCTCAGTGGTTAAAAGTACCTGCTGCTTTTCCGGAGGACCTGGGTTTGGTTTCTGGCACCCGCATCAGATGGCTCACACCTGTGTAAGGTCAGTTTTGGTGAATCCAGTGCCTCCCTGGATTCTGGCCTCCCTGGGTGTACTGCACACATGCAGTGCTTATACATCTGTTCAGGCACCCACAAATAAATAAATATGTACATAGCCTTGGGCACATGTAACAAACAAACAAATAAGGAAATAAATAAAAGGGGAAAGGTCAGCTAGCAACTAGAACTCTGGGGGAGGAAGTGGTGGCAATGGGGGCACGGTGGGGATTCCTCAGCTGGAGAGCCAGTCTCGGGGAGATCTTGGAAAGAATGTTCTAGATGGAGAATTGCAAGGACAAAAGTGGGGCTTCTTGGAGGATGAAAGAAGTCCAGGGACTAGATGCTAGGTTTGGAGAAGGATGGGCTCCATGGACCAGTGTTTCAGCAGCATCTTCTAGCTCTATCCTGGACCTGCTGGGACAGAATTTTTAATTTAATTTAATTTCCAGTACTGGTAATTGAAGCCAAGGCAGACACTCTGCTACTAAACTACACCCCAAGTCTCTCTTTAATTTTCTGAAAATTGGCCTAAGTTTGCGACTCTTCTGCCTCAGCTTGCCAAGTACTAGGATCCTAGAACTGTGCACTATGCCCTGTGCTCTCTGAAGAAGGCTACAGAGGGCCTAGGGTCACAGAGAGGGCAAGGACTCCTGCATTTCCCAAGGCCACAGTCTGCAGTTTGCCTTCCAGGAGGCCTCGGACAGGGCGGTTGCACAGGGTGCACCCCAAGGTGATGAGGAGAATGAGTGGTCTCTGCAGAGCAACCCCCGGCAGCGGCCACCTCAAAACGTCCCCTGTCCTGAACCCAAAGGATGAATGAGCTCCCAGCCCAGGACTCTGTGGAAGCAAATTGATGGCTGCCTGGCCCCTGCCTTCTGTAGGGAATGACTCAGCACTCACCTTCAGCATGATTGGCAGGAAAATGACAGGCAGGCATCTAAGGCAGACAGTGAGGGAGCGGATTTCCCAGATGGAAGTGTGGCCTTTCAGCACCCCCCCCCCTTAACTCTTGACACAACACACAGTTGTGGGGTGAGGATGCTGCCAGGTCTAGAGACCCATCATCCTCCTGGGAATTTTACCTCCTGCTCAGCTCTTACCTGTTGGGCCATTCCTGAGAGTGACCCTGGGGGCAGAGCAAGAAAACAAAGGCCACTCTCTGGGGATACACACCAGCCAGCCAGAAATGTTGGGGTGCACCAAGGCCCTTCAGTGGATCTTATGGGAAGGACGGACACAGAAGCACCCCTGAACTCCAGAAATTACTGGGCCTCACTAGCTGTTGGAGGCCAGGAGTGTTTGCTGTGCGTTGCTGGATGGCCCCATATAGGACTTCACATGTCGTAGCATGGCGGGGGGGGGGGGATGGTATCACATGTGGTGTGGTGGTCAGGATCATGTGTGTGAGATGCGGGCACAATGTGCAATGCCTCTCTGCTCAAGTCACTTATGTATAGAGTGAAGTTGTTGGTAGCTAATTGTTCGGTGTGGTGTGTGGCGAAAGGGAGTCCGTGACGGCAGGATGCACCCAGGCATGGGAGGTGTCTTACTCACGTGTGTTTGGAGAGCAAAGGAGGGAGTGCTGTCGGTCTGACCAGGTCAGGAGGTCTCGGGTGATCTTCTAGGTGCAAGTTGGGGGGTGGGTGGGGGTTGGAACTGAGTCACAGTGGGGCGCAAGTGTGGGTTAGACTGCAGTTGGCCTTGGCAGGCAGGAAGAACTTCCTTAGTCCAAGAAGATGCCAGGCTGGGCATGATGACCTCGACCCAGCTGTTTGGGAAACTGAGCCTGGAGGATCTTTTGGGTTTTCCAAATAGGGTTTCCCCGCGTAACCCCGCCTTGTCCTGGAAGCCGGAGGATCTCTTGAGCCTAGGAGTTCAAAGGCCAGTCTGGGCAACACAGCTAGACCCAGCTCAAAAGACAAAACCAGAAGCTGGGTTGTCACTACTCCATAGGTGTGCTTAGAAGAAGTCCGTGGGTTCTGTCTCCAGCACCTTGTAACCTGGATGTGGTAGTGTGTGTCTGTGATTTCCTCACACAGGAGGTGTAGGTGAGGATCAGATGTTCAAGGTCTTTCTTGACTGCAGAGTGAGTTTAAGCCAACCAAACCAAACCCAAACTAAACCAAAATAAACCCTGCCTAAGGAACCACAGCCCTTTCTCCCTTATGGTCTTGTCCCTACGTGTACTGGTGACCGTCCCTTTTGCCCACAGGATGTTCTGAGCCCCTGGGCCTGAAGAATAACACGATTCCCGACAGCCAGATAACAGCCTCCAGCAGCTACAAGACTTGGAACCTGCGTGCCTTTGGCTGGTACCCCCACTTGGGGCGGCTGGACATGCAGGGCAAGATCAATGCCTGGACTGCCCAGAGCAACAGTGACAAGGAGTGGCTGCAGGTGGGAGTGGGTGGGGTTTGTGACCTCTACCCCGCCCCCTACTCTGCAAGGGATTTCCTGAGAAGCCTAGGTTTTCTTTGCTTTTCTTCTTTTTCATGCTTGCTTTTTTGGCTTGCTCCTGCTTCCACCAAGACCCCCAAGTGGAAAAGGGATGTGAATGCACACACACACACACACACACACACACACACACACACACACTCACACGCATGCATGCGCACACATTCACAGGACTAACACCAATCCTCTCAGCTGCCACATGGTGGACAAGGCTTGCCAGTGGACGGTGGGGCAGGATGGCAGGGGGCCGTTTAGAACCCCATCCCTTGAGTAAAATGGCAGGTGTTCTGCCACTTGCTGTAGCTGGGACATCTCAGAGGGGTTGGAAAACCAGAGGTAAGGGCTGCAGATGGGGAAACTTGAGTCCTGGCAGATTGTGTGGTGCTCACCTGTTGGTTGGGGGTGAATTGGGCTTGTAGCCTGAGTCCTGGAGTCCGTTCCTATGATGGTCGGAGCCGGGGACCTGTGGGCCAGGGTACTCAGTCAGACTTGGTTTTGTTAGGAGCTACCTGCTCTTGGGCTCTCTCTCAGGACCACAGAAGACTCCAGGCCGCTGGGCGGGTTTCAGAAGCAGTTCCCACTCCTGCAGGCTGTGGTGTCTCAGCCTGTTCATCGTACCCCAGAGTATATCTAGGGCACGAGCTGGCAGAGTTGACTAGGGCCTGGACCTCTGAAATATACTTCACTCAGTTTTATTGAAGTTAAATTGGAGTACTGGAGTATTGGAGTGTGTGTCAAAGTGGATTATTTACACACACACACACACACACACATATATATAACATTACATTTTTGTGGAATACAGAACCACAACCCAGGACGTGGGTGCACTGGACCAGTGCTCTGCCACTGATCTATAGCCCCTGTTTTGATATTTTGAGACAGGCTGTTGCTGTGGAGCCCAGACTGGCCTTCAGCTTCATCCTCAGCCTCCCAGGTGCTGGGGTCACAGGTGGGCACCACCATACATGACTTTTATGTTCATTTTGTAGATGAGTGTCTCAGTTAGGGTTTCTACTGCTGTGATGAAGCACCATGACCAAAAAGCAAGCTGGGGAGGAAAGGTTTTTATTTGTCTTACACTTCCACATTGCTGTTCATCATTGTAAGGAAGTCAGGACAGGAACTCAAACAGGGTGGGAACCTAGAGGCAGGATGTATAGGCCATGGAGGAGGAGTGTTCCTTACTGGCTTGCTCCTTATGTCGTGCTCAGCCTGTTTTTTTACAGAACTCAGGACCACTGAACCAGGGATAGCATCATCCACAATGGGCTGACTTGGGCCCTCCCCCATCACTAATTAGGAAAATGCCTACAGTTGGGTTTTATGGAGGCATTTTCTTTCTTTCTCTTTCTTTCTTTCTTTCTTTCTTTCTTCCTTCCTTCCTTCCTTCCTTCCTTCCTTCCTTTCTTCCTTTCTTCCTTCCTTTCTTCCTTCCTTCCTTCCTTTCTTTCTTTTTCTTCCTTCCTTCCTTTCATCCTTTCATTCTTTTTTTAATTTTTTGAGACAGGGTTTCTCTGTGTATCTCTGCTGTCCTAGAACTCAATCTGTAAACCAGGTTGACTTCGAACTCACAGAGATCCACCTGCCTCTGCCTCCCCAAGTGCTGGGATTAAAGGCATATGCTACTACCACCCGAGTTTGGTGGCATTTTCTTAATTCAGGTGCCCTCCTTTCAGATAACTCTAGCTGTGTCAAGTTGACTTAAGACTAGCCAGCACAATGGGGAAATAGGCTAACAAATCATGTCCCAGTGTGTCTGTCTGCCTTTATACCTTCCTGAAGAGGCTCCAAGCTAGAACAGTGTTTTTCCGTAGGTTGACCTGGGCACTCAGAGGCAAGTGACAGGAATCATCACCCAGGGAGCCCGTGATTTTGGTCACATCCAGTATGTGGCATCCTACAAAGTGGCCCACAGTAATGACGGCGTGCAGTGGACCATATATGAGGAACATGGGACCAGCAAGGTGGGTGTCCTGTCTAGTTGCAATTTCTGGGAGACTGTGGGGTTCTGAGGGATGGGGAGGGGGCTGACTATGGGGTACTCCTGACACCCTGTTTGTTTTCAGGTCTTCCATGGCAACTCGGACAACAACTCACACAAGAAGAACATTTTTGAGACACCCTTCATGGCCCGCTATGTGCGTGTCCTTCCCGTGTCCTGGCATAACCGTATCACTCTGCGCCTGGAGCTGCTAGGCTGTTAGTGATTCGTCCTTCCAGCTCAAATGACCAGAAGGAACAGAGGCCGAGTCCTCCCGCCCCTGCATCCCGGGGCCCTGCCTTCTTCCTGATTGTCCTGGAGCTGGAGGCAGCAAGGGAGATGGGGTGCCAGACATGCCTTCACCTTTTCTCCCCTCACCCCTGCAGCCCCCACAGGCCTCCCGCTAGCCCCTTTCCTCAGGCATTCTCGGGGAGTTGGATGGGTCTGAGATGCACAGGGAAGAAGAGTGAAGTCCAGATATGTGGACTATATCTCCACCAACTACCCCAAGTCCCAGCCTCCCTGCCAGGGGTTGACTCAAGACTCGATCGAGACTAAAGGGATCTCTGGTTCCCCGCCCTTCTCTGCACACAACACATTCCCCATCATGTTCCATTCCAGGCCTCCAGGCAGAGGAGGCCCATGCCTGCTTGCAGCCCCTTGGGTCACCCGATACTGTTACCTCCCGAGACCCTTCCTGACCCTTACTTTGGAGCCTCAGATGGTGGGCCTGGAGAGACACTCGGACTGGTTGGCTAGCTGGTTGTGCGGCCCCCTGCTGGCTTGCTACACAACTTAATAGGCTGATTCCAAAAAAATACATTTGTGTTCTCCACTGGAATTTTGTGCTTCCTCATTGCCCTGCCCTAGCCAGACTGCCTGGGGCTGCTCTCTACCCCCCACCCCGTCCTCCAGTGCCCCATACTGGTCTGTCACTTGCCAGATTGGAAACAGCTTAAGAGGAAGAGGGGGAGACTGGGATGGAGTTAGAGTTAGGCGTAGGCTTCCCTCCCCTCCAAGCCAGACTCACCTCTTCCCCTGCTTCTACCTCCATACTCTTCTGAGTCTGGCCTGCAGCTGCCACCTAATGAAGGGCCAAGGAGGGCCCGGCAGAGAGGTGGCACCTGTGAACGGCCCCTCCTCCCTTCCCACACTAAGAAGGTGGGCCAGGCCTGGCTGCTAGTTTCTCTCTCTCTCGGCTGTTTCTGTCTTTTTCTTTGTAATGTCAGTGCCAGCCTAAAGAAGTTTTTAGAAGCCCAACAAACATGGCTTTCAGAAAAAGAGGGCCCTGGTAGGCTGGGCAGGGAAGGGGTAAGGCGTCGCCAAATAGGGATTGTGGTCAAGAGCGTGCCACTTCCCAGAGGCCACTGGTGGGAGGAAGGGGGGCTCTGTTCTGCACAGGGCTATAAGAAGTGGCCAGTAGGAGCTATGCTGGCCTGTGCCCTGGTCATCTGGGGAGAGGTGGCTAGCTGGCTGGGAAAAGACAAAATAAAACCACTCTGGTTTCCAAGATCCATGTCTCAGCCAAGCTTCAGAGCCATTCTGTGGCTCCCTGGGGAGCAGGAGAGCAGCTACTAACAAATAGGTGTATCTGGAAGCACATCAGAGACTCACCCGGAAGTGCTTCTTCCAGAGAGCTGCCCGCTGTTGCCAGGGCTGCTTGTGGGCAGGACAGAGTAAGAAGCTCAGGGGTGTTCTCCCCATGAAGGAGGTCAACTCTGAGGCATCTCAGCCTGTTTCTGTTGCTTGAACATTTCCCTGGGGTTGTGTGTATTGAATTCAGAATCTAGTCTTTCCAGGATTTGTTGGACCCAGTCCTCCCTCAGAGCCCTGCTCGGTCTTGGGCCTTCCCTAAGCCGATGGGAGAAGCATCCTTTCTGACAACGTTGCTTGGAATGGCTTTGCCTCCTGGGCAGTTGCTACACAGGAGAGGAAATGGCACCTGGCAAAGACCACGCAGCCATTTCTGTGGGCCAGTCATTTTGGCTAGGCTGCTGGGCAGGTGGGTGGACGGAGCACAAGCCCCCCTCCCCCCACCTGGTGTGGGAGACTGGTATTGCCCAAACTTGTTTCTTGGTCCCTTTTTTCTTTCTTTGTAGCCTTTTTTATGTGTTGGCTGCAGCCTTGAGAAAGCCCGCTTTCTGGGATCCTAGCCCAGAGCCCTTCACTCTGAGTTTTGGTTTTCTTCGCCTTTCCTGTCCACTCCAGACTACCAGACTTGATATTCTCTCTGCCTGCTGACCGCCCTATCACACGCTGTGACATTTGACCCTGCTGACTGATCACCAGCCTGTTTACATCAGAGGCTGTCAGCACCACCCTGCTTCGGTCAGGGGTCTAGGCTTTTCTTTCCTAGTTTAAATGTGGTAGAGTGGCTAGGAGCTTAAAGCCTCAAGGCAGGCAAACATGATTCATATCCTAGCTCCGAGTGACACTGGGCCTCTGCTCATCTACAAAGTGCAAAAGAGAAGACTGAGCCCATGGCATTGCTGGGGCTAAAGGAGAGAGGGTGCGGAGAGCTGATGCCAAGCCTGGTCCATCCACAGCCTCAGAGGCTTGTGGGAAGATCCACACGGGTACTTGTATACTGTTTATTTCCTTATCAGTCCATCCAGGGGTCAGCTCCATCCCTAACCTGCAGGGGAACCTTCATAGCTCTTCTTTGCCTATAGGCCTGGTATTCATTTTAAAGGGAATTTAGTCCATAGAAGCTGTATTTTGGTTTGTTTCTGGTTGGGACACAAGCACGTACACACACACACACACACACACACACACACACACACACACACACACGGAGGAGAGGGTCAGGGCTATCTAGAGGTGTGTTTAGGAAAGCCTGGGCTCCTGACCCTGTGGCCTTTCTCTTAGTCCTGCTTGAAGGACCTTCTTAGGTTTTTCTATCGAGAAAACAAGTAGTCCCTGCAGGCCAGGAGTGCTACTTTTGGACAGGAAAGAAAACACTCTGTCCAAACAGAAGCATCCTGAGAAGTGGCTGCCTGTGGGACAGATGTCTGCTGCCCTGCAAGAAGAACACCCCATCCTACCCTGGCTCACCCCCACCCCAGGACCTCCTAGGGGCAGGTCTATGTGTGTGGCTAGCCCTCTTCGTGTGCCCAACCTCCAGCAGAAGGTTCTCACCCCTCAGCTTTCTACAGGAAACAGGCATGCATTTCTTACTCCTCTTGAACAATGTAGGGCAGTCATAGCCCACCCGCAGAGTACTGAAGGTTGTTTTTTTTTTTTTTTTTTTTTTGAAGCCTGGGCATTTTAATGGGACCTCCCACTTTCCACAAGCACTTCTCTGCCACCCCCTTTTGAATTCTTCCTCCAACGCGTGAATCTCCATTCATAACTCAATCAGCCTGCAGCTGATTTCGGGGTCTGGACTCCCTGGAGGCCAGGTCTTTGGGAAGGAAAGGGGCTGTGTACCTTTAAGGGGTTGGCCCCGCCGGGAGCGCAAGGTTTGTTGAAAGCGCTTCCTCTGGGGCCATTCAGGATCCCAGATTCTTCTGCTACTTCAGACCTGGACAGCGTATGGTAGTGGCCCCAAGCGTTTGAGTCCTCTGAAGAGCCTGCTGGGGACGGTACACGTGGCTGGGGTGGCTGTGTTCCGGGTCTCTGTGCATGCAAGTTTCTTCCTTCTCACCTTAGGGGACCCCGCGGTTGCCGGGAAGGGTGGGGATAGTTGACAGGGGAGAGAGGGAACTGGAGACTGAGGGGCTCATTTGTTACGTGATCAGCCCTACGGGCTATCTTGCACGCGACCCTTTTGGGGAGTTATCAAGAGGTAAAACTTCAGCGATCCCCGGGATACTGAGATTTGTCGCCTGCTTCACTCCCACTGTCTCAGTAGGTCGCTACTCTGTTCCGGGCTTCTGTGGGATGCAGCGGGTGCCACCAGAGATCCCGGCGGGAGGAGGGAGTAGGAACTGGGTACAGCCTGCGTGGGGGTGGGCGGAGGATGCCCTTTAGTCCACTCTGAACACAGGTTTGTCCTGGCGAGCACCTGGAGCGCCTGTCCTAAGGGACTAGAGTGCACCGGGGCAAACCCTGGGTTCAAGCTGGCTTCTCCCAGGGAGGAGGCCAGGAAGGAGAGGCGCAGGCATTTGGACCCAGCCCTACCCCCAGCTCGTTGGGTGGTCACCGGCTGCCTGCGATCCTGCTGGGTAAAGGGCCTCCAGCGCTGACCCAGGGAACGCCTCTGCCCTCTGAGAGAGGGGTGACTGCCCGAGACACCCAGGCTCCCTCAGCGACCTGCACCAGGAGGCCTAGAATGCCGGTGGAAAACGCCCCTCTGTTGCCTCCGCCAGAACCTGGCCGGTGATGATGGCAGAATTTCAAAGACTTGATAAAGCCTGGTTGTAACCGAGGCATTGATGTTAAATTCCTTCCTGAGCTAAGTTGGTGTATGGGGGCGGGGGGGGGGGGGGGGGGGGGGGGCCCCCGACCACCCCC